ATCATTTTCTCTCACCCGTGAGTCGTTTGACATGTCTTCCTCATTGGTTTTCCCGCAATGTCTTCCTCATTGGTTCTCCCGCTTCTTAATAACTTACTTTATAATCTTTGGGTTTTGGGGGAAAGTATCAAGTCTTGTCGAGTCAAAGGGCTCGAGTCCAAGTGAAGTCACGAGTCATCGATGTTAAAGTCCAAGTCGAGTTGCAAGTCTCTTTACATTTTTGTCAAGTCGAGTCTAAAGTCGTCAAATTGATGACTCGGGTCTGACTCGAGTCCAAGTCATGCGACTCGAGTCCACACCTCTGGTAGATGAGGCAAATGAAGCTTCAAAAACATCAAATACGGTTGTAAAAGTGTGAATCTAATAATGCTTGGACCCTTGGTGTATGTTTTGCAGGCGGTTCACATTAGTGCGGGTCATTAATGTGGTGAAGCGCGCCGATGGAGTCCAGGGAAATCGATACCTCCTGGAGCTGATGCTGAAAGACGTGAATGGCCAGCTGCTGCGTCTGTCGCACTACATCTACGCTCTGTTCCGACAAAGTCGCTCAAGAAACAGGGGTCACGGCTTTAGAAAAACAAAAACCGAGACGCTACTGTGTAACCCCGTGGGCCTCCACTGGAATCCTGACACCACTGTCCACTTTATAGTGCCAGGTACTGGACTGGATTCTTATTTACCCCTGCTCAGTACCCACGTGACTGCTAATTAATACTTCAAATTCTCCTTATGGTATCTGTGCTCTTTTTACATTGGTTCAGTTACCAAAACCTTTCGCAATAATTATGTTTTTTTAATTGTCCTTTGAGTCAAGGTTTTTGAATTTTCCATCCTTTTCTGTCAAATGATATCGTCAAGATTTGCAACAAAAACATCGTGTTAAAACACTGTCTTTAAATTAATCAGTGCTCAGATGATATTATTTTTTGTGGTAATGTAGGAATAAGTGTAGCATATGCATTTGGCAACTTTTTTTAAACACATTTACACCACGGTACACCACCAGACAAAAATTTCAGAAAAGTACATATATTTATATTTTATATTTATATATATTTTTTTACTTTTTTACTTGTTGATTACAGAACATAGAATAGTGTTTCCCAACCTTTTTTGAGACGGGGCACATTTTTCATTAGAAAAAAAAAAAAAAAAAACATACCACGGTACACCACCAGACAAAAATTTCAGAAAAGTACATATATTTATATTTTATATTTATATATATATTTCTATGTAGTTGAAGACAACGCTGATATACTTGCAGGAATTGAAGAAAGACATTGACAAAGATGGTGTTGAACACCTCTGATTCTCTGATCATTTGCAATAAATAAATAGTAGTTTTCAGACCAATTAAGTGATTTTTTTTTTTTGAAAATTTTCCGTGGCACACCTTAGGATCGTTTAGTACAATCACAAAGACTCTAACTGTATTATTAACGAGATCATTTTATCTTCTGTCCAAGTGAAAAACCAGGCTCGATGGGTACAGACGCTGATAAGAGACATGGAGACACTCTTTAGAATAACCGGAGACACAAACTTTAACCTCATCATCACTGACTACGGCAGCACTGACATGGACGTGAGGAAGGCTCTACAGGAGTCCTCACTTCCCAGGTTTTTCAAATGTACCATTAATCTGTTTGCTTTTGAGATATTACAGTTTGTTTTCCTGCTTTAATGTTCTCCGACGGATGTCTTTAGGTTCCAGTATTTGAAGCTGAGTGGAGACTTTGAGCGCTCTGCGGGTCTGCAGGCGGGAGTCAATCATATAAAGGTGAGTATTTTACATAACATAAAATATGCGTTTAATCCAGACGAAATAGTAAAATGTGTAAAAAATCAACTTTATATTGACTATACAGTATATATGTGCACATAACATATATATATATATATATGTATATATATGTATATATATGTATATATATATATATATATACACATATATATATGTGTATATATATATATATATACATATATATACATATATATATACATATATATACATATATACATATATATACATACATACAGTATATATATACACATATATATACACATATATATATATACACATATATATATGTGTATATATGTATATATATACGCATACATATATATATACACATACATGTTAACTTAATCTGCATGTTTCTGGACTGCGGAAGGAAGTACCTGGACAAAAATGATGAGAGGTCATCAATGAGAGCTGGGGCTTTCTTGCTCCAAGGAAACAGTATTACCATATGTTCTGAACAGGAGTAGCAGATACTGGTACACGAGCCTAGAGTGCCCTCTAGTGGCTGGCAGTGTAAAAAATAACGAACATGGAAATTTTCAGTGGTACAGGAGTAGCAATAACTGGTACACAAGCCTAGAGTGCCCTCTAGCGGCTGTCATTGTGAAAATAATAAACTTTCAAAAATTATATATTTGAATATATATATGTCTACACCTGAGTATAAGTCGCAAATCCAGCCAAAAGGGGATAGGAACATAGGCTAAGGACGTCGTACACCAAGGACATCTCGGCTTATATTCTTAGTTTCATTCTCCTGTTTTTCTTCGTTAGGATGATCACAGCATAGTGTTTCTCTGTGACCTCCACATACACTTCCCCGAGTCTATCATCGACACAATCAGGAAACACTGTGTGGAAGGATACAAGGCGTTTGCACCTATAGTGATGAGGCTCGACTGTGGGGCCACACCACAAGACGCCAAAGGTAAAGATAGTTCTATACCCATCCTACGTTAAATTTGAATTCAAATATGTAAGCATTTAGATTATAGATATTTTCGAGCATAGAACTCCAGTACACTAAATGAAAAATCATGAAGACAAAATTATGGTTAAAATACAGTATACTGTGTAATTCAATTATTTTTTATTATTTTTTATATTCCAGTAAATGGACATTTTACAGATATAATATCATGCTGTAAGGTAAAAAAAAACCCATAAAAAACATAATGTGTGCCAAGACAATAACTGGTTCTGTGTAAAGGAGTGGCAGAGGTGTATGTGAGAGTGGTGCAAGACATCAATAAAGATTAGTAGACAATAGTGAGGTATGCGATCAAAATTCCAGATAAAGTCTTAAATAAACAGACTAGAGACGTAGGTACACACCATGTGTCCTAGTTATGAATACAAAAGAAATGTAAGGACACGTTTAACCCACTTGTTAGAAAAACCGGTTTCTGCTCGATTCTGCTCTGTTTGGCTAATGAATAACTCAATAGTTCAGTATTTGCTGCGTCATTTTCTTAGACATTACCACTGGATCTCTTCTATTAACCTGTCTAGGGTTGCTAGAGCCTTGGAGGTAATCGATCTGCTATTGGATAAAGAGAGTGCAACAACCATTATTATCTTAATACCATGCCCTTAAAATCATTGAAACAAACAATAGCACGTTTTATTCATTTAAATGATTATTAAAGATAAAAAAAAAAAGGTGATACATTTCACAATCTTGTTGCAACTGCCACGAATTATTCCCAGATAGATTAGATTAGATTAGAAGTAGAACAGAAGTAGAATTGACTGTACAACAAAAAAAGACAAACTAAAACAATTTCTTTTAATTGTAAAAAAAAAAAAATGCTCTCCGTGCATGAAGATTTTTTTTTTCTGTGTACTTTCTAGGTTACTGGGAGGTGAATGGGTTTGGCCTGCTTGGCATTTTTAAGTCAGACTTGAATGCTGTCGGAGGAATGAACACCAAAGAATTTAAAAACCGCTGGGGAGGAGAAGACTGGGAGCTCCTTGACCGGTCAGTTCTGTTTTTTTTTAAAAGTTGTTTAATAGCATAAATGGTACATTAATAAGATGCATCATGCAGAAAAATGCAGTAAAACCTTAAGATCTAAAACACCATTGAGTTTAATGTAGTTGTAACAAAGCATCACCTATTCTAGTGTTAAATGCACTTTTTGTTTTTTTAAATACACATTTTACTCACCTGGTCCTCCTCCTGCATTTCCTTCATGCTCAAGTGAGGTGTCACTGAGGTATTTTTCAAATGAGTACAGTTTAATTTTTAATTCAATATGCAAAGTCTTTATGGTATTTGGTGCCAAAAGTAAATTTGAATGTTGTTATATTGCTTGTGGGTTTGACCCGCGTGCTATCAGAGAATTCTGTTGTGCAAAATGTCAATTTGTGCATTAACAAACTTGAGCGCAAAACTTTTTTGACATATGTATGTATGGATATATATATATATAT